GCTTGAAAACACGAACCCTCAAGACTTAAAAACCAGAAACCAAAGAAAAATAACCCAAAATATATTTTAATAATCTTATAATTTTTGGGGCTTGGCTCATGATTTTTGAATGCTTGGATTTGGTAATACTACGATGACAACTGAAAGTAGCTAACATTACATCAATCACATTACATAAATTAATTCCTGTCATGACTGTACTCAATCTTATTTGCCATTGTACATCTGATATTATGCAAATGATTTTCATATAGCTACAGTCTCAGTCGTGCGTTGATTTTCAGTTTGTATGTGCATTGTGCTCCTTTCCCAAACTTCCGTGGTTATTTTTGGTACCTCATTTCTTAGCTTCACAATAAATTGTCCTGAAACATTTTTATCTGCCCATAAACTTAATCTGTTTTAAATTAGATTTGACTGTTTGTTTTGTATGAACTATTGTCGTCTCCTGGTTTGGGTCCTCAGCCTTTTAAAAATATTTCTTCATCATGACAATTTTATGTGTAGAATGCTCAGAAGCAATTGTAATCCTCACCGCTGATAAAGCTTCGTTATTTCCATTTTGTTATTTTCGGGCGTTGTTAGCTCTTACTGTTTCCTATTCTTAAAATGATGTTAATTCTTTCAAGTTGTTCTCTACCCTGTGCTTCCTAAACTTGTAAATGAGTCTCTTTTGTGAGGGAGTGCTCATGCTTTTTTTTTTTTTCTCAAACCAAAATTACATATTTTTATCTTGCCAGGGGCACCATGTTAAAGGTGCATGCTGAGGAATAGTCATTTTTGCCATTCAGCTGAACAACCAATGATGGCCTGCAATATCTGCTGAATAATAAATCTAAATAATTAATAGACAACTTGTGCAAAATCTTATACAATTTACTTGAGGTACTTTAAAATCAATATCATGTTGAAATGGCTTGCAGAATTCTCATTTAAATTGACCAGTCCAGGCAAAAAGTTTATTTGCTCAACTTTCCCATGAAGATGCTGATGACTGTAATGAAAAATGTATTTTTTTTAATTTTCTTGTTAAAAATTCATTTGCCTGAGGAAACTTGAGCTGGAAATGTTCAGGGTTGTATTAAAATGCAAATTGGCAGCATATCTCTTGTGACTAATTTATTTTACAGACCCGTAGCAATGAAAAATACAGCTATGTGCAGTATTAATACAAAGAAGGATCTGATTAACAACCATGTGACTACTATTTGTTCTTATTCATAGATAATTATTCAGCTGTAAAAACTGGCACTGTTTGTTTAAGAATTAAAACAACATAGTAAAGTACATTCAAAGAAGGCCACATGGGAATCCACTGCAACCTAAACTATAAAGTGACTCGTCGTGCTTTGCAATATTAGTCACTGCTAGGCAAATAACTCAAGCAATTTAATTTGTTTTCTTTCCAGCATCACTACAGAGTGTTAAAAGGTTAATAAATAATATCCAGTTCTTATATGGCACTTTTCATCAGTAGAGCAAAAAGTACTTTACCATTAACCCCATTTTCCAGATGGGGAAACTGAGTCATAGATACGTGACATGAGTGCTCAAGGTCACTCAGCAGCCAGTGTCAGAGCTGGGAACAGAATTCAGGTCTCCTGAGTCCCAGGCCAGGGCTCTATCTGTTAGACAACATGGTCTACAATACTACGATCTACAATACTACACTCATATGTTTTTGGAAACAAAGCTGCAAAGCTCAATATTGTACTTAAATTGCGGAATTCTTCTTCTTTATCTTATTCTTTCCCATTGCTTCTCATATTAGGACCTGGTTCAGTAAAGTGCTGAGGTTCGTCTTTAAATCCCATTGAATTCCCTGGGATTTAACCCGCTGCTTAAATGGCTTGCTGAATTGAGGCCTTAGATCAGGGGTTCTCAGGACAAATTTTTGGTGGCCTCAGAGTGCAGCCACCAAATCCTGCTGGTGGCCACTCTCCCACTTTTTCCTAAACTAGTTAATTAGCTTTAGGAAAAACAAAAATATGCACATATACACATCCAAATCATTGTAATTTATTTATTGCTAGCTAGGAAGTCTGCTGTGAAAAGTGATATTAACAAACATACAAGTATCACTTTTCACAGCAGATTTACTCAGCCCTGCTAAGCCTGGGGACAAATTTAAGCCCTGGATGGGGGTAGGGTGACAAGTGGGGGTCTGGAGCCTGGGGCCTGCCACTGCACAGCTGGAGCTCAGGGTTCGAGCCTGAAGCTGAGGCTGCCACCCCTGGGAAGGTGGGAACTCACCGGCTGCCTGGTCCTTCCACATTGTGCCCCAGGTGTCAACACCAAGGCAGTGCATCCAGGAGCAACAGGGAGCAGGAATGGCTGCTACTTTGTCTCCTCCCCCCACAATCACAGCCCAGGAGGCTGTGGCCACACAAAAAAAGCCCCTGGTGGCCTCATGCGGCCACGGTGGCCGCATTTGAGAGACGCTGCGTTAGACCCTAGTAATGTTTTTTGTGTCTCTAGCTCTACATATGCTGCCACTGGCCAGCTTCTAAAGTGCTAGCTTTGTTGTCTGGATTGTATTTTCAGTATCTATACTTAGTAGCATTAGACATCATGCTGTCTTGGGAGCAGGAGGGGAAAGAATAATGCAGCAAATTGCCTACCAGTGACCGTTTTATTCAATGCTGATAGTTTCTGGCCCACATGCACCAGTCTAATGACCTTCCTCTTGGGACAATTTATCCTTGACTTAAGTAGGAGCAGAACCAGACCCTTCATGCTTCTGCACTGCTCTAGAAGCTGATGTGCATTTGTTCTGATCCACTGCTTAGCGGGCAGTGTTTGACACAACTGAAGTGCCACTGTTTTCCAAAATTTGAAAGTTAAGTCGTACTTAGTGCCAACTTGAAAATCTTAATCTTTTATATGATATATGTATGTTAGACTTCAAAAAGTGTATAAAAGCAAAGGGGATGGCCCGTTTGCACTTTCTAGGGCGGTAATATGCCCCCCCCTTTCCCAGAAGTAGAGGCCAAAAAGGAATAGCGATGAACTAAATGAAACATTAAAAACAAAGGTGTAGGGCTGTCAAAAGGAAAACACAAATGAGCCTGTGGGGGAGTGAGAAGTGCAGGGTGGACAGCCTTGGAGTTGGAGACCTCTGTCCCATGGAGCGAGAATCACATGAGCAGTGGCAGTGTGTGCAAGCTTTCCTCTATGCATTGTCCTGCTAACATGCCTCAGCCTTAAAGTAGAGGGACTACTCTAAGGGTGAGAGAGGAGTGCGGGTCTTGTCTTTTCTACTGAGAATGCAAATGAGGGAGGCAGTTAATGGACATCTGTCCCCTTGGAACCAGAGTAAGACTGACTACTTATTTCACAGGGACTACGGACACACATCAGATGGTAATGACATTCAGTTACCCATCCTCTTATCTTGGCAATTTAGAAGCACTTGTTTTTTGTTAAACCAGTTGACTAGGAAGAGCTTTCCTCTGGAGGCCGGATGTAATCTGAGCCATGACACAATACATAACACATTCTTCAGCACTGGGAAATGACTTGCACTAGGCTACTTTCTTTCAATACCATCAGCTGTCTCAGCGTGTTGACTATTTAAAGGACATGTTCTTTTACCAGTATCAACTAACTGAGCAACAGTAGACCTGTTGCTTCTTATTGATGTAGAAAGCTCAAAAAGGGTGGGATCGGGGCGGGGGTGGGGATGATTACTTGGGGGAAAAAATCAGTTTATTGTAATTCTGAATTTCTGTTTATTGTAAATGTTTGCACTGTTCAGAGCTTGGACTGAGTTACAATGTTCTTATACAATTATGCACAGAGTTTGGAAGCATTTAGGTCCAGGGTTTTGATTTGTCATGTTAGAGAGCAATGGTTGAGCCCCAGAATCTAGACCTACATGGATCAGTGGTGTATAGCTATCAGGGTTTTAATTGAGGCCTGTCTCTAGCAGTGTTGAATTGAAGCTGTATAACTAATCAAACAGCATCCAACACCCCCTACAATTCTAAATGTTTGTAAAAAATACTTTATTTTTGAAGTAGAAATACAATAATCATTTGAAGAAGCATATGAAATGCCTGCAGATTTCTCTGTTATTTCCTTTAATGCCCCCGATAGTAGCAAACTTTCATCTTATTACCATTGTTGGACTACAGAACTGGTAAACAGTTGTGGTGAAGTGTTACCACTTACCTTAGGGTGGCCTCTGCATATTTCCACTTGTAGCATGTGTCCACCAGCACCAGAACTTTTGAAACTTTTAGAAAGCAGCACCCTTTGGTATTCCCGATTGCCCTTTCACAGTACTAAACATTCAGAGCTGAGGTTATAAAATGTCCGTGCAATCCAAAGCACCTCAGTTTTTTCCTTTTGGCAGCCAGCTATAGACATAGGAACCTTTCTGTCTCTGGAATTTGGTTTTCAGCCAGACTTCTTGCCAATTTTTTCTCTGTGAATAGTTCTTGGTAGTTAGGTTTTTAGGTAGTTTGGGTTCTTTTGAGACTCTTCCCATATCATTGTACAGTTTGACTCTCAAACGGGCATTGGCTTTGTTCTGGGCTTTACAGCAAACCCACAGGCCAAGGTTTGAGGTGTGCATTGTGACCTTCCTTTTTTCTGGAGTCTGTGCACAGCTAGTGCCTCATGTGCCTGGCAATGCCATTCTTCTTGCCCATTCTCCTGATTTGCTGTCAGACTTTTCACACCCTGAGTCAGTATAGATATACAAACCTGGCTCCAAGCCTTCTTAATGAAGGAGGGTCTTTCACTTCTAAACCTCCTCAGTGAGCAAATCAAACCTTCAATGCTAGATCCAACCTAAGGCATCCTTCTGGAGCCACTTTTGGTGAGGCTGCCACATCGAGCCAGTCAGATGCCATAGGTGCTAGGGGGACAGTCATTGCCACCTCTGAAAATCATCTAGTGCTAACATCTCAAAGAAAATCATCTAGTGCTAACATCTCAAAGCTGAGGTCTACCTATGTTCTGGAAAACCTTCAGGACTCTTTTCCTTTCTCCAGTGCCTTGGATCCAAGGGCTCAAATGGATAAGATTGAGAGCAGTGATGAAGTCCCGCACATCCAGCTAAATTTGGTTAGTTTCAGTCATGTTGCAACCTGGCTATCCCTGCCCACTCAGAGCAAATTTATTATAGATGAGGCTGAGGTGCACAGGCCTCTTACAACTAGTAGGAGATTAATTTACAAATTACACTCCTATTGCCCCAGCCTGAGTGAACTTATCTTTGTATTAAAAGATGTCGTTCATTGTCACCACCACCAAGAGAGGGATCTATTTTCCTTTTGGGACATGTTGTGAAATTTGGAAAGGTTCTGTGGTTAGATATGAGCAGATAAACATTTTATAGCAATTGAAAGTGGGCAAGGTAGCAGGCTCAGATGAGTTTGACCTCAGAAAATTGAGAGGCTGAAGCTGCCTCCCTAACTGTTCCATCATGCATTGTAGGTGGGACTGAACTGAATTTTAACAGTAGCTGTGTTTTAACTGGACCCCTCAACATGATTGATTTTTGTAGTTTAGGCAAGACTAGAACCATATGTTTTGATCATACTTATTTAAAAGGCCAACTCCACATTTCTTAGAGGCTTCCTTTGAGATCAAAGTCGATTCAGAAGTTAAACGATGCTGTCACCCTTGGTGAGCAGATAGTAGTGCTCTTATTCACAATGCTGAAGCATGTTCACGAGTGTGTTTTCATTTGGGAAATAAATGTAATGCAATGATTCTGTGTACGATTCCTATCATAGCCTTCTAACCCTTCTTTTCCAGAGTCAAGACGACAGATTTGCTTTCATTGCAGAATGGTATGACCCGAATGCTTCACTCTTTCGACGTTACGAACTCTTGTATTATCCGAAAGATGGTTCCGTTGAAATGGTAAAAACTTTTTTATATTATCATAAGCATATTTTTCAGCTACACCGTTTGGAAGTTGGTAAGCCACAGCCCATAGTATGGTTTTAATTTGGAAATGGTAAATGTAAAGAGATTTTTAAAATTTGTTTGCTCTGTTTCTAAAATTAAACAAACTCAGGGGAATCTAGGGACTAACCTCCTTATTTATTGATTTATTTTGTAAAGCTTGCACAGTTGCCAACATTTGAAAATGTATCCAGAGAGAATTGTCCTAATAGGCCCGGGGTGACAATAACCTTTCCTGCAAATGCTGGTGAAATTAGGTTAACTGTATAGAAATATTTGGTCTATAAACTGAAAATTTCCAAAGTGTTTTTAATCATCTTAGCTCTTAGCACACCCAACAGCCACACAGTTCTGCATTTTGACAGCTTGTCAGTACTTGATGATAACTTGACACAGACGCAAATGTCAGAGTGGGTGCTCAACTCACCATCCGTATTGGAACTGGGGAAGCAAAAATGCCCATATATAACCTGTGGTGGGAGAAGCTCTGTGTGACCGGGATCCCAGTGGGGGCCAGCTGAGGTCACTCAATTAGGGTGAACTGCAAAAAATGGGGTAGTCAATCCCCAAAGCTGGTGGATATTTCAATACTTAGATTTACCAAGCCAGCACAAAACAGCTTCTTTATTACCTCACCGGTTGCCCAGAAACCAACAACACAGTTTCCTTAAAGTAACCTAGCCTCAGGCCTCCATCCAGATACCCAAGTCAAATATGATGAAGATTTCTGAACATCTTATTTCATCATATAAAAGAAAAGGTTCTACCAATCCCAAAGGATCGGACACATTACCTCCCAGGTTAGTGAATATTCCAGATCTTACCCAGATACATACTACAGCCAATTCTTAAGTAAACTAAAATTTATTAAAAAAGAAAAGGGAGAGAGTATGGTTAAAAGATCAATATACACACAGATATAGAGTTCAATGCTTGAGGTTCAGATTCATAGCAGAGATGGTGCGCTTCGTAGTTGCAAAGAATTTAGTCCATAGGTTCTAGTCCAATGACCAATATCATATCCAGGGTGTACCAGCTTAACTGGGATCTCATCATGCAACTCAAACTTCCCCTGATGAAGCTTAAGCAGATCTGAGATAAACAGGATCAGGATCCAGGGATCTTTTATACAATTTCAAGCCACCTTTGACAAGTCGGAGTCCCTTGAGGAAAAATAGGTAATTAGGGCAACTTTGAAGCAGGTCCATCATCGGTACTTAGCTATATGAATTAACATAAGGCAACTGCCTGTTTTTCCACCATTCACAGGAAATTTGCTATACATTTCAAAGAGAGATTAATACAATGATATCCCATATCTACAATTCATTTAAATGCTGGGATGTTCTTTTCATCTCTGAATTATCCGAAAACAGCATAGACAGGGACTATTGATTACATTGTTAACCACTACCCATATATATGTAAATACACAAAAACACAAACATTATCTCCCCCACGTCTTTAAGGGTTGAATTTGAGTCATTTTGTTTTGCAAGATGTTTAACCCTTTCTGGCCATGTGTCATGCTCTGCTGTTCAGATTTTGGGATCAATTTGGACTGGTGTTGTGATGCGGTGTATGGACCTCTCACTGATGAGGAAGGTGCCAGATAGACCCTAGGGGCAGGGCTTTCCCACCCCTCTGGCTTTGTCAATTACGTATGATAGGCAGGAGGCCTGTAAAAGAGAGGAAACTGCAGTCAGGTGAGGGGAAGGAGCTTGTTTGCCAAGCAGTAGACTGCTGGCCTGACTTCTGGAGCCACAAGGGAAACTCTCATCCAGGAGGTCTTCACCCCAACTGTACAGGGAGTGCTGCAAGCTGCCAGGGAGAGACTTAAGAAGGCTACAAGGGATAGAGGCCCCTTGTAAGAAGCAAGGAACTAGGATCTGTGCCAGAGCCACACAGTGAAGTAACTGGGTGTGGACAGGTTCTCTCACCATTGGAGAGAGAAACCTCAGGGGACTCCTTTACAAGTGTCTTAAAATTTGGATGCTCTTCTGAATTTAGATAAGTCCCTACTATGTCAGGTAACCAATCCCCACTGGATCACCTCTTCTGTCAATGGGCTCTGCCTCATCTCTATCTATTGTTGTCTTTCTGAGGAAATGGATGGTTGCTTGTTATTCCCTTGGACATATCTGGAGAGAGGATAGGTGGCAACCGGGAGGCAAATTTCCTTTTGGAGGTGATGAATTATTTGACCTCTTCATCCCTCCTTGTAAGAATCCCCCCACCACCGATGCCTCTCCTTAACCACCCCTATGCCATGCATGGGGCTGAAGCTGCTGAGGGTTTATTGTGCGGAAATGAGGCTTTCTAGTTCTCAGCTTTCCTTCCCTCCTTTTCCTTACTGTGCTATGCTTCTTGGCTGTTCCTGGGGAAAAAGGGGAAACTGGTAGAGGAAGCAGTGAAAATATTGGAGAGGCAGATTCTAGCTACATAGCAGGAGGAGTGGCCTCTCTTGGCTGTGGAAGAGTTTGGCAGGGTTTTTTGTTTTTTGTCCCAGTAGCCCACAACAGAAAAGGATACCAGGGAGTGCTGTGAGCAAATTGGATCTGTTGGCAAATATTCATGCTTGGTTCTCAGAATTTGGCATCATTTGAAACCTTACAGGTTAATCCTAAACAATTTATTGCTTGGAATAGGAGTTATGTATATGATTGCCTTAATAAGAGAAGGCTTATATTTTTTTAAAAAAACTCACAAGAAAACATAGATTGTTAGCAAACATTATTTCATTTCCACTAAACTTGCTTCTTCAGGCAAAGTGTGAGAGACAGAGGGAGAAATAAAACTGCAAGCTGTATTTACCAAATCTAAGTAACGTTGATCTATTGTTTACCCACTTTGTGGCTCATCATTATGTTTTAAATAGGGTTTATAAATATATCCAGGCATTCGTGCCAAAAAATAAACCCCTAACAGGTGGATGAGGAAATATCATCTTCAGGCTTTTTTCATCCATGTCACTTCTACTACTTGGTAATTAGTGCAAAATAACCGGAACACATTTTTTTTCTCTGCTAGGGTTGAACTGAGCTAGGAAATATGCAAGTGTCAGGGTTTTGAAGATTATTGATTTAATTACATCTGAAAATACAAGTCTTGAACAAGTCAGGCAGTAATATACAGCAGAATTGAAGGGACTATTTTATTATTTTACCATCTCATCAACTGTTAGAATATAGGATGTCAACTAATGCAAAGGACAAAGAGGGGTTTCATTCTGAATAGCGATGAGGAACCTCAAAAAGTTCAGAGTGAGGTAGTCCACCTTGCCAAAATGGGTGCTTATCCTCTACTGGATACTCACAGGAGTTAAGTTCACTACCTCCAAAGAGACAGAACGCTCACCAGTCTGTCAGTTTAGCTGAAGACTCTTACACAGCATTCACATAATTTTTGTAATAAAACAAGAATAAGTTTATTAAGAAAGAACAGAAATTTAAGTGATCATAAGAAAGCATAAAAGAAATAAGCATGGTTATAAGTAAAACAAAACATGCTTTCTAGTGACTAAAACTGAATTCATCTTTGTATAAGCAGGTTTCTCACCTATAGTCAGTTTCCAGGTACTCTTGTCTTCCAGGCCAAGAGGATCCAGCTTTCATAGGCTCTGAAGGCACTGAACCCTAAATCCCCTCAATGATGGATAACCAAAATGGCTTTTTGCTTGTCTTTATATTCCCCAAAGTTCCTTGACTCTGTTTCAAGAGCCAGGAATGCTTCCTGGGGTTCAGATTGCATCCCTTGTTGTGATTAAGTGGTCTGGTCCCCTACTTGTTAGCTTGATGTCTTTGTTTACCTTATATGTAAATGTACATGTAATGTCCTCTGCCTGTTATCAAGCTGATCAGACAAGTAAATACACATTCCTTTGTGTAGGACAGGCTGGGCTTATATGCTGCCTTCCAAACATATTTTAAGAACATATTTCCAGGACACATTTATAACTCTTTGTATACACCGGGACCAGACTGTTACCGGCTTCTACATGGTACCTTACATGACACTTTGACACCAGTAGTTTGGGGGCAATGAGCATGTCAGCCTGATGTGAGTTATAGTATGTTGTGCCCCCTGGCAACTGGTATTGAGGGGCTCCCAGTGTCACCGGCCGATAGTTAAAATGGAACAAATTTATAATAGTTGGTTTCATCTCATGACCTTCTCTATTGTACATGCAAACTCAAAGGGTTAGAAATTCAGTGAATCTATCAACCTCACTGGATCCCATAATACTTTTGAAGCTGCTCTAAAATAGAATAGAATTTATTTTGAATTTGCTCATCGTTTAATCACCTTCTTTAGTTTCTTGGTGATCTTCCTTCTCTCTGCAGTATGATGTGAAGAACCATCGCACCTTTCTGAAACGCACAAAATATGATGACTTACACCTAGAAGATTTATTTGTAGGCAACAAAGTTACTGTCTTTTCACGTCACCTTTCCCTAGTAGACTATGGGGATCAATACACAGCCCGCAAGTTGGGTAGCCGCAAAGAAAGGTAAGATGATGTGGTCTCTGAAGTTCCTTTGGTATTTGCTATCCACAAAACTGTTTATGCAAGTGAGTTTTTCAAACTAATTGTCTTTCTCGGGAGGGATCAGAGAGGGTTTCTACAGCTGATGAGGTGGGATGATGGGAGGGTATATCTGCTGGTTTGCATTTTGGGCAAGGAGATTTGGCAGGTTTGATCACTGGAAGCAAGAGAGAGCAGTCCATCCCCTGTCGTCAAACTTATGATCTTTCCTGTTGTTACACCCTCCAGATCACACCTTCCCATAGATGTAAACTGCTCCCCATTCCAATTCTGGAGCAAAGTTCAGCTTTGTTACAGTTTTGTAACCCCAGTGATGTGCACTAATGTTGATTTCAGTGGAGCTGAATGGGTGTAGCTTAGGGCAGAATTTCAACCTTGGTATGTGCTGGGCTTACAGGGAATGAACCTTGCAAAAGTCATTGACTGTGTCGTGCAGGGACAAAGCACAGGCCTTGTGATCCAACAGCAACTCTTTACCAAGTGATGTGTTTTATACATCAGCTTGTAGTAGCAGTTACAAGCATCTCTCTTTTTATTGTTTTTATCCAGCCTCCACTGCTTTTCCTGCAGTAAAGGGGATACTGAAACATTTCAAAGAAAAAATCCAAGGCTGGGTGGTGGTGGGGGGGGGGCAAGAAAACGTATAGAGCCGGATCCTCAGCTGGTGAAAATTGGAGCTATGCTAATTTACACTATCTGAGGATCAGGCTCATAAGCTCATTCCAGTTGAGGCTGCATGACAGGAGAGGTTTGCTTTGGAGAACACCTCTGGAAAAAACATATGGACCAAATTCTGCTCTTAGTTATGTTGCTACATACCAGGATTGACTTCAGTGGAGTTACTCTCTGAATGTGCACCAGTATCACTGAGACCAGAGTTTAGCCCAATATTGTTAAGAAAAACGCTCATTACCCTTTCTAGATTGCTGTTCTTAACACCGGTAAGCCCGCTACTAGCTCTGTTTTTGTGTGTTGTTTTTAAAGAGCTATAAGCAGGATTTTAAAACTTATATTTTAATCAAAATAACACTGATAAGGTTGAAAAGTTGAACATTTACCATTCCCTCACCCCCTAAAAAATATTGTCACTGAGATGACTACAGTAACAGCCTTCCAAAATAAGGTCTCTGGGCATGTTGCCTATCGGTTGGAATCAGGGCCGGCTCCAGGCACCAGCGTAGCAAGCAGGTGTCTAGGGCGGCCAATGAAGAGGTGGGTGGCATGTCTGGCCGTTTGGCGGCAATTTGGTGGCGGGGCCGTCACTCCCTCTCAGAGCGAAGGACCTGCCACTGAATTGCCGCCAATCACGATCGCGGCTTTTTTTTTTTTTCTGCTTGGGGCAGCAAAAACGCTAGAGCCGGCCCTGGTTGGAATTGGAGTAGTGGGAGGGAGGGTATGAAAGAGAAAGATTGTGTTTCAGGACTCTTGGGTTATATTTAGAGCCCTGTGATTCCTTTTTTGTTTTATTTTTCAGGAATTTTGTGTTGTTTCGTTTTATCCACTCTGGGGGTGGGAGGAGGGTTGGGTCCTGCCCTGGTCTGGGGGAGAAGGCTCGGGGAGAGGGAATCCTCCCACTGGGGCAAGTGGAAGGCTTGGGGAGGAAGTCTGCAGAGTGAACCCCCCCACTGCACTCACCCCATAGTGGCAGCTGCTTTGCTGCAGGGCTTGGCCGGGCTCCCCACTGCAGGTGTTGCAACCTGGCACACGGGATCACAGCATAGTTCAGGCTTGGCCCAGTTACCTTTCTGTCATCATGACGGAGGGGCAGCTGGGCCCCAGAGTTGAGTGAGTGGCACTTTATTTCATTTTATACATTGTTTTTCGGTATTTGTGTTGTTTTGCATTTGCGAAAAACATGAGGCTCTATTATGTTCTTGGTTTTATGAATAAACTCTGTGACCTTGGGCAAGTCACTTAGGCCTGGCCTACATACAACTTTTATACCAGTGTAATTTTTTTGGTTAGAGGGGTAAATTTTTACTGATGTACTATACCTGAATAAGCCCTAGTGTGGGTGCAATTACAGCAGTATAAAGGTGCCTTATATGGGAATTGTTTATTCCACTTCTCATATAGGAATAGCTACACTGGTATACAACAGCTTTATACCAACGTGGATGCAGTTTATACTAGGAAGATTGTACTGCTTTATACTCTTCTATTTTAAAACAGTACAAATTTTGTGCCTAGACAAGCCCTTAATCTCTCATTTTCCCCATCTGTAAAATGGGGTTGATAATACTTACCATGCCCGTCTTTAGCTGTAGAAGAGACAGTGTTATAATTTATTCAAAATGACTTCCATTGAAATCTACCTTAGGCAATCATCAAAGGGATCAGCAAAATCCAATTTCAAGCAGAGGTTGGCTTTCGATGGTTTCGATGGGGGCAAGTGGCTGGTTATGGGGAGTTGCCTGTTAGGGATAGTCCTTAGTGCAGGTTTCATGACAGTGACAGAAGGGGAAAAAGAGGAATTTTGCAAGAGAGGATGAAATGAGCATCATCAAAGATAAAGAATGTGCAACTGGACAATTTTGCTGTTGATGCACGAGGCAGAATAATCTTCACCTTGTTCTGCAATAGTCCTGCATGCCCCATACAGCTAGCAGAAGGAAACATAGGCTCAAGTTTGCAAAACTTACACATACTTTGGTCACTAGAGAAGCATGTGCAAAATGCTCAGTGAGTACTCCAGGCTAGACTGGCATCTGCACATCAAGCATCTTGCACTTTCTGAAACTGGGGCCTTTGATTTTGTCAGTAAAATGAGCCAGTATGACTCCAGATATTGATCTGGTGTGGGGGGAAGAAAAGGCTGATTTTTACATAGTCCTTTTTCTGATTGTAATTGCACTTTAAGTTAAAACTTTCCTGTATGGACAGGCAACTTAAAATCTATCCAGTTCCAAAAAGTGACTTTAAAGTAGTTTCAGGTTCTACACTTGCCTCTGAGTCCCCCAGACAATTTATTTATTGGCTTTACAGCCATGTTTATTTATTTAAATGCTTTTTTTTCTTTTCCCCCTTTCCACTGTTAACTGAAAGACCCACGCCAACAAGGAAACTGACTAGGGAACATAACTAAACACACAGTGCTGTCAAATGCACAAAGTAAATAAAATTGGAAAAAATAGAGAATTTTCCCCTCTAATCTTTCACTTGTAGTGATCTTGGATGGTGCTTAACACCAGTTAAACATTTTTCAGACAAGTGGTTTTTTTTTTTTTTTTTTAAAAGAGGACCGTGAGGCTTTCAGTGTATTCAGTTACCATAACTGGTTTAAAAAAATTATTAGAATGCTCATGACAAACCAGAAATTCCAGATTATTTTATTGATTTAGTAAATCATTAATGTGCTTCCAGTCATTTACCATATTTAACATTTCCTCCCCTCCACAGCATAGGATTTTGTACTTGTAATAGTCCTTCTATTAAAAAAAAATAAACACCAGCCTTAGCCACAGCATACATTGTGTTTTATGCACCAGATATCGTTCTTATGATCACTTACTATCTCTCTTTTCAATAACCACAAGAGATTCACATTCAGATTTACTGTGTGACACAAAGTAGCTGAGTCTAGTTTTTAATTCCTTTTCCTTTGTTCCCAGATGTAACTGTTCCCTAATGCACTTGTGTGGACTCACCTGTCAGAACCCTAAAACATATTGCTAATTAAAACTACAAATAGATCACATGGATCCAAAATCCAATCTCAGGAACAAACCTCAGCATGCTGGATCATAGCACTTTCTACCCTGCACACCTCCATGAAAAATGCAGTGAAAATACTATTACAAACCACCGCTGACAGATGCTTATTTCAGGTAGTACTGAAGATAATGGTTCACCATATAGTATTTCACTGCATGTTGCTAGCAATTAAGGATCTACTATCAAAGTCTGAAATCCGCAAAGTAAACGATAGATTATTCTAGGATTAAACCCCTCCTCTCTGATAGTCTATATAACTTCAACAACACAAACAAAAAACCCCTAGACAAACATTCTGAAGGGAAATGCTAGCTTCAAACTGAATAGAAATTCCTGGTCAAACAACTTGATCCTTTCTAACATCTTAACCAATCAATCTTGTTTGCATCATTGCACTGTTTCCGGTAGACATGCACCTTAATCAGATCCACAGATCTGAGCATCCTGATCTTTGGGGAAGTTTACATTTGACTGTGAATTTTGCAGCTTAGGTCTATCCCTTCCTCTGCCCCACCAGGAGTATCAGATTAATTTCCATCTCCCTTCTAACATTTCCTGTGTTCATTCTCTGTAAAAGCCTTGGGTGATGGCTGGAGTGTTATTTTTTTCTCCACAGGATCTGCAACTTTGATATCTTTTAGTGATCAGAGCAAATGGAATGGTACTTTGTCAATTTCCCCTAATTTCAGCATGTTATTTCCAGTTAGAACGAATTGTAGCATACACAGAAGCTGTCTTCTCCAGTATGCTGGGAAATAAAATGAGCAAACTAGCAGCATCTGTCTTCTCTCTATAGATGCAATGCTATAAAGGAAACATTCAGTCTTGAATATCTTCCATTGCTGGAGATGGTATGAAAGACAGAAGAGCCCCACTGGATTTTCAGATTCCAAGCAGAGTTTGTGGTACAGGCGGTTCAATAATAAATCATCTGTTGATTTGTAAGCTTGAGCACATTGATGCTGACTCACTGTGAGAATAAATAATGGAAGCACACAGTGTCATTTTACAGAGTTCCTGTTATGCTGCTTACTTTTTATGATTAATAATGAATTTAGTACTGACCGTGCACTTGGTGCTGTACAAAACAGAATGATAAAAACAATCCTGGCTCCCAAGTGCTTAGAGTATAAAAGATAATTGCAGAGAAGACCGGATGAACTGGATGTTTTGATTTCTCTCATAATATAGTTCTTATCCATAAAATAGAGATAATGCTTCCTTTATCCTGCCTTTTTAGACTATTAGCT